AAATTTCTTAATTACCTCAGGGGATTAAGTGGCATCCCATGCCAGTAATTATCATCCTAATTACACCCATATGTGGTGAGTAGAGAAAAAAAAAGAGCTTTATAGAGCAAAAAAATCTAATTTTTTTACCTCCCTTACCTCAACACTAATCAATCTTTTGCCCTTCTAATTAAAAATTTAAAATTCTAAAGCGAAAAAAAAGGAAATCGTTCCTCTATTTTTATTTAAATTTTTCCACTATTAACTCGTGTTGTTACTCACTATTTAACATATGTTAAAGAAGTAATTTCATGTTATGATTCCGTTTCTTTCCGTAGGTAGGGGGGGATTGTAACTCAGGGGTAATCATTTTCAATTTACCTCCCACACCTTGGTTTGCGTGCTCTAAGTCACTAAATGACCCCCATCTTGGTTTTCGTTTATTAATGAAATTGCCCTGCCCCCCTTTTGTGCCCCCCTGTATCTCATTGGTCGTCATTAACGATCGAATGCCGGGTTTCGGAAGTGCCCAATTTTTTTTTACGAAGCGTGAAATTCGAGACGGAGCGGACCGTTGTCATTCAAGCATGAGTTTGTGAATGTGGGCTCGTATAATTATAAAAATCTTATTATTTCTCGATCTTAACTGTAACTGATGACCAAATTTATTTTTTCTACGCTATTCGGTATATGTAATTTAAAATTAGTTCTTGTTGCACATAGTGAAAAATATGTGTACATATATTTATTATAATATGACGTACAATAAGTAATTATCACGCATTAAACGTATATACACGTACAATAGGACGTATGTGAATAAGTAAGTTGGAATACGTAAGTGCAAATACGTAAGTAAAGATATATGTAGTAAATATATATGTAAGTAAAAAAATAACACCAAACATAAGTAAAAAATAAGTAAAAATAGCATAAATACAATCAATCTGTGTACGTCATAGTATACACATATTTATTATAATATGACGTACAACAAGTAATTAACAAGCATTAAATATGCAAGCACGTAATAAATATACACGTAAAAATATATATACGTAAGAAATAACGCACACGTTATATCATACATATATTTATTATAATATGACGTAGAACACGTGTTTAGCACGTATTAAACGCGCAAATACGAATAAAATATATGTACGTAAAAATAACACGTAAAAATACATGTACGTCGTGGAAAGCATGTATTTAATATTATATGACATACAATGCGTATTAACGCATAATTAAAATAATTTTGCTGTTCAAAGTTCAAAAATTATATTAAAATTATATTAATATGTAATATAATTTGAGATGGAAAGCTAATAAAATTTTGCTATTTTGTACTCATCATAATGATGAGCTCTTCTGCGTAGATGATAAGTCACTATTTTATTAACAATTTTGAATATCGAAATTTAACCATAACAATAAGCTTTTCTTTAATGTTAAAAATTTGGAAGCTTAATTTTAGCTTAATTTAGCTAAAATTTGGATTAAAAATTTGGAAATGTTAAAAATTTGGAAGCTTAATTTTAGCTTAATTTAGCTAAAATTTGGATTAAAAATTTGGAAGCTTAAGAGCACTTATAATAATAAGCTTCTCTTTAATGTGAAATATTTTATTAAAAATTTGGAATATTTGTCATTGCAATAAGCTCTTTTTTTGCATCAAGTATTACATTAAAATTTGTGGCTTGAGGCTCTCACTATAGTTGTTAGCTTTTTTTTAGAGTAAAGTGTTTACAAAAATTTTGCAATTATAAGTACTCATCATAATAATAAGCTCTTTTAAACTAATATTTGAAATAATCCACTATTTTATTAAAAACATTATTTAAAGTTAATTAACACAGTATAATAAATTTTTCCGTATAAAGTAAAATATGCGGCACATTTTTATTTATTAAAAAATTTGAATTGAGTATTCATCTAAAAAATTAACCATTCTATTAAATGATGTCAAATTAATCTTAATATAATGGAAATTTTTACAGACGGGGAAAAAGCAGAAAGTCATTATAGTCATTTTGCATGTAATTTTTGAACAACATTGTACAAAATAATATTCATTCCGTGTAAACACAAGTCTAAATTTTGCATGTAATTTTTGAACTACCTTGTACAAAATAATACTCACTCTGTGCAAACACAGGTCTAAATTTTGCATGTAATTTTTGAACGACCTTGTACGAAATAATCCTCACTCTGTCTAAATACAGGTCTAAATTTTGCGAGTAATTTGTGAACAACCTTGTACAAAATAATACTCACTCTATGTAAACACAGGTCTAAATTTTGCGTGTAATTTTTGAATAAACTTATTCAAAATAATTCTCATTCTTTGTAGAGACAGGTCTAAATTAAACGTAAGATTTGACACTGATGATAAATTCGATTTAAAAAAATTAAAATTCAGTAGAAAATTCGATTTAATTCCAAAGTATTTCACTTTTAAACAAAATAATAACAGAATAGTGTAACTTTTTTTCTTTAAAAAAAAAAAAAAAGAAGATATGTTTCGATCGATTTTAAAATCTAAATCGCGGCATCATCTTGAACGAAATCGGTAGCAACACCAAGAAATCGAAACAGAAACTCCAACGTAAAATTCTCCGCAACGATTTGTTTCAATTTCGGCATTTTCCCCCCTGTGAGTGGCACTTTTCTACACTACGCAGCTGTCAGTTTTTGGTGCGCATACTGAAGCGCTCATTTCTCTACTCGCTCCACTCCCCCACCCGAACTTCGCCTTAGAAGCATAACAACATGGCGGCCTTGCTGCTATGTTGTGTTTTATCTGTTCTCTTTTTTGCTGTTTCTATCGCTTCTTCTCCCGATTACGAAAATATCACGGATATTTTTGAAGAATATAATTCGAGGTTTGTTTGATACATTTAGAGTTTGTTCTAACAGGGTTGTTGTTTTTTGATATTTTATATGTTAAGTACGGTATTTGTGGTTACATATTTTAAAAAATTATAAAATATCGGTGTGTTATTTGTATTAATATGAAATTGTTATAATAATTTAGAAGTCGATTATTTTTCTGTTGTTTTTAGTACGATTTTTCAGTGTTGGTAAAATTTTTCTTGGGTTCTTCGCGTCTGTGTGAATGACTAAATAAGATATAAATAATAGTTTTTACTCCTTCAGTTTGTATATTAGCTATTAGTTAGCTGTTCGACTTATAAAATAAATTAATTACAATGTATGACGCAAGTAAAAGAATAATTTACGCGTAGATATATATTTAAGGTTTCAGTAAATATTTGTTTATAAAAAGTAGTCCCCTAAATTTTTTCCTCAAAATTTTTGCCCATTTGATTATTATAATCATGCTGTATTATCTCTAAAAAAATAATAAGGTAATTAATATTTATTGACAAAAGTATCTTAATTTTATAAGATGTTTTATAAAGCTAACCTGCAAATATGCATGATAGTTCAGATTGTTGAAATATTATGAGCATATTTTTCTAATTTAGATGTATTTTCTATGTTATTCATAATTTTCCTATAATTCTTGCTCCAGTATTGTAATAATATTGTGATGTAATAATTAGCAAGTACAAAATATTAACTTACTACTGTTTATTAGGATTAAAATTTCAATTCATATTAATTCAGAGGTTATTAAATTTGTTCTTATAATTTTTATTACAAAATTTATAAAGTTCTTTCCTAAATTTACTACATTATTTTTTGAAACACCTTATTTACAAATATTCAGCAAACATATTTTTTACTGCATATTTGTTTGTATACAGGATAAATTAAATGCTGCATAAATGTTTATTTATTTTGTGTTATGTATAATTTAAACACATGCATGTATAAGGAAAAGTTATAATTTCGCATTGGGGTTTAACTTTTCAGTATATCATATTTATAGTTACTTAAGGGAATCTATTTGCGTGGTCTATATAATAATATAATCTATTTTTTACTATGTAATTGTGTAGATACTTAACTAATAAAAGTTATTCGTTCAATTAATAGGTTTAAATTCCTAACATTTCACTCAAATATTAGGGAGATATTTCCACTTCTTGATCTGTGACAGAATAAACGCCAAGTCTTGGCAACTTCTGGGCAATGGCCCACGAGAAACAAAGAAAAATCATCACAAAAAGGGACCATTTCAAAAGGTTTAACTCGTAACCACCCCCGGGCAGGCATCTACATGTTTTTTTTTTTTTTTTTTTTAAATTTGCAAGTTTGGATTGGATCTGTCGCTCCAACTACAGTGCGAAATGGCACTGTAGTTGGAGCGACAGATCATGATACGGAAAAGGTGCCATTGTTTATCCTTCATATTTTTTCCTCAACTTTTTTGCTCCCAAGTAGATGGAAAAAGCTTGATCGAAGTGGTTTAGTTTTTCTGTTAAGTTCGGTGAGTGAACTCACTGTTCATACAATAAAAATAATCCTGCGAAGTGGTGCTATTAGCATCAGTATTCATCTTTGCGATGTCTAGCATTAATGTTCTTATGTTAACAAAAAAGCTGACTTATGTAGGAAAGGCAGATTGTGGGGGTGTTAGTTATCGACAATGTTAACCTTCCTTTATGAAAAGATACCCCAGCATAGAATCTAGTTAACATGTCTTATATATACTAGTGAATTAGAATTAAATTTTTGTAGTGGTAGACATACTACAATACTCCCCCTTCAGAATTTTATCTGTGATAGAAATTCGATGAACGGATTCCACTAGTTGATTCATTGTTGCTTTGTGAGGGGGAGCTGTATTCAGATCACTGTGCTAGCTGTATTAAGTTCACCACGCTCTTGGTAAATCCTGTGTCAACATTATCAGTAGAGTGTATACAGGCCGATGTTGTGTGTGATCAACAATGTTAACCTTCATCTATGAGTATGTACCCCAACATAGAATCGAGATAACATGTCTTATATACTAGTGAATTGGAATTGTATTTTTGTAGTGGTAGACACACTACACAGATTTATTATATTTATCCACAAAACTTATTGTATTCTTTTTCTTCTAGTATACCAGAAGTTGAACCTCAGGGCTCTCTTGGATTCTGTCAACTGTATCGGGGAGTAACATGCGTCCAGTACATCGGGAATCGATCGGTCTACGTGAAACCTCCGTTGACTCTCAGCCTCATGGAAGAGAAGCTGACCGCCGCATTTACAGTCGTTGCTACATCACACGACGTGTCAGACGAGTGCCACAAGTATGCCATTCCGTCCTTGTGCTTCTTCGCATTTCCTTTGTGTGACACGGACAGTCCCTATCCCATACCACGCCAAGTTTGCAGAGATGAATGTGAAGTTCTGGAGAGTAATATTTGCCGAATGGAATATTCCATCGCTAAAAGACATCCGCTGCTTGGACAGCAGAAGATACTCCCCGTCTGTGAGGAACTGCCACCTGTTGGATCGAAAGAGAGTGAAACGTGCATGCGTCTTGGCATTCCAAGTGCTGTGATAGTGGATAGAGGTTCATATTGTTAATTATCTGCATGATGTTAACTTCCTAATTAATTTTTGTAGAATTCAAAAGTTATTTCTCAATTTTTGAATGTCATCGGAATTTTAATTCTTGGTTTTCTTAAAATGTATTAATTTTTTTATTCCGCTCTTGGAAATTGAAAATTAGATTGTATTTCAAATTTAATCATGCCATTTGAAAATACTTTTATTTCATGGCTTTTTTCTTATGATAGAAACATTTTATATTTTTCTGTTCTGTTTTAGTACATTGAAATCATGTTGTTGGTTATGCACATTAATTGTGTGACAAAAATTTATGGTTCGCAGATAACTTGAATCGTCTTTTTTTTTTCTCAAAAATGTAAATTTTTTTTTCTTTTTTTTCAAAAAAATTTTACTTTAATTAAAATTATTTATTAACTGAAATATTTCTTCAAGCTATATATTTTTACTTAGTAAGATTAATTGATAATTTGTGTAATTTATCTCTTTTCTGTGTATAAATTGACTGTGCCATTGTAGGATAATTTCTATTTGTGCCATTGTAGGATAATTTCTATTTGTGCCATTGTAGGATGATTTCTATTTTATTACTTTTTTTCACATATTTTTTTTTCTTGTTAAACACAAAGATATAAATACAATCAACCTTTTTTTTGCCTTCAAAAATGTACAATTTTCTCTTCTTTTTTTTTCAAATATTGTAACTATAATTAAAATTATTAATAACTTTAATATTTCTGTGAGCTTTATATTTTTCCTTTCTAAAATAAATTAATAATTTGAATTATTTGTCCCTTTTCAATGTATAATTTGACTGTGTCATTGTAGGGTAATCAGAATTCTCTCTAGGAATAAAAAAGGGCAGGGCACTTCCTCTCTGAAAAGGGCACTTTGAGTTTTGAAAGGGAAGTCACTTAACATCATAAATATATACCAAAATGTGTAATATTATGTAATAACTGAATTTTATGCTCCACAATTTTTAAATTATCTTCTCATATTATTTTATGAGTATATTTCAAATCGTAATTCTCTCTCATTATCAAAAGAAGAGAAAAATTTGTAGTTCGGAAAAGTAAACTAGCAAAAAGTGATTAATTGATAAACAACTTAAAAACTTTTTTCTATAATTTAAACTGAGAAATATAAGAACAATGAACATTTAAAGGTATTTATTTAAAAAATAGTTTTAAAATTTAAAATCACTTAAAAAATTTTTAATCTTCCTTTCTCCCCTACTAGATGTAAGTGTATTTATTAGATGTGATGTCATTATATCAATGATATTTAATTTAATCTTTATATTTCAGAGGATACTTGTTTTGAGGGTAATGGTGAAAATTATAGAGGTACAATGTCAACCACAGTTTCTGGTTATAAGTGCCAACCGTGGAGTGATCAAATATTCTATAAAACTGCTGATTATCCTGAGCTAGTTGGTGGTCATAGTTACTGTCGAAATCCTGGTGGCAAAGAAACTCAACCCTGGTGCTTCACTAATGATCCTAGTGTGAGGAAAGAACTATGCAATGTTCCTCAATGTGGTATGTATGAGTAACTGTTTAATTTCACCTTAAATTGTTTCTGATTGAGCATTTTAAGAGCTTAGTGCTAAAACATGTTACATCACATTTTGAAGACCCGAATTTCCAAATTTAAGAATGCTATGATAACATACAACTTCCTGATAGCTTTGTATATTTTGAAGAGAAAATTTTTTTCCCCATTTCCTAAAGTGTTGCTTAATATGTTTCACTAAGCTTTTAGTACCAATTCAATTTTGATATTTTTTTTTTCAAATACCATACTGCATTTATAAATGTTACTTAAAAACATTTTATGTAACACTTCAGTATACTTAAAATGTTTTATCACTAAGTTCTTCATATGAAATATACCTTACCGCATCTTTCAACTTAACTCTTCATTTTTTTAGTACCTATCTCAAAATTTTTTTTAAAGAAAAGAATACCATACCATATTTACTGAAGTGTTTCTTAGCATGTTTAACACCATACCATATTCATTAAATTGTTATGTAACATCTCTCCCCAGTAAGCTCTTTTATTTTTAAGTACAAATTTCATAATTTGTTTTTATATGCCATACCATATTCACTGAAATGTTACCTAACATGCCTTTCTGCTAAACTCTTCCTTTATAGTACCAATTTTGTAATTTTTTTTATTTTTAAATACTATATTCACTAAATTGTTGATTAACGTGTCTTCCCATTCTGCTCTTCATTTTTTGGTTGAAATTTTGTACTTTTAGTACATTTTGTTTTTCAAATTATACAATACTCATTGAAGTGTTACTGAACATGTTTTTATACTTATCTTTTCATTTTTAGTAGTACTTTTGTAATATTTTTTTATTGGAAAAAAATTTTTTTGTTAAACTTTTTCCTTGTTATTTCTTATGATGTGTGTTTGTGAAAATAAGATTAATATTTTATGGTACAAGATACAGCTTAATGCTAAAAAAGAAATATATTGTTTTTTTAATGTTTAATTCTTATATTAAACATTTGTTCAAGTGCGACTAAAAATTTCCTTACCTGAAATTTTTTTTTAATTACATCCTATGATATGGTTTTAACACACCATATTACCTTTATTATACATGGTAGAAATCGCTAATACTTTCAATATAAATAGCATTTTATAAAATATGAAATAGTCAATAAATAAAAAACAAACTTGACTGTGAACAAGTTTTGCTGTTTTTTTCTAAGCACAGCTCTAAACCACATACTAATTGTATTGAAGCATTGTAAACATTCATTATTATTATATGTAAATTGTAAAACAAAGAAAAAGAATGTACAATGCCAGCAAGTCTATGTGTTTTATGTTAATCTGTAAATTAGATCTGTGTAAATAACGTATAAATAAGGCCCTAAGTATTAAACCAACCTGATCAGTTTTAAATTAATTTATGGTATTAAAAATTCTCCTATCCTGTGATTTTTAAATGATTTTAATACTTTTGGAAGACAAGTTGAAAACTGATTTTGTTCTGATTTAATTCACATATCTAAACATAACAGTTCAAAATTTAAATCTTTCTCATATAAAAATGAAGAAAAAAAATTTTTTTTTTAATCAGAAAAATTGCTCACTATTAAGCTTATTACTTTTAAATCCATTTTTTATGCTATTGTTAAAAAATTGTCTGAAAAAAAAGTAATTTTTTTTTAATTTTAAACTTTTAACCTCTGACTGCCCTGCATGCAATTTTACCTTCTATTCTGGGCATAGCCTGTTTGCAGTGTCCAAAGGAAAAATATTTTCAGTAATTTGCTTTTTTTTGTTGTAAAATATTGAATTAAGAAAAGGTTAATTGAATGAAAAATGAAAGTAAGAAATAATATTTGCTAGAGCGAACAATAGCAATTTCTTACTTTTTAAAAACCATCAGTGAGTTATGTCAAAAGATCTTGCTTCCTAAGTTTCTGTTAGGACTGATAAATTGAGAGTATTTAGGTATCTTGTATTAACTATCTAATTATTTTCTCCATTAATTTACTGTAATTTATAAAATTCTTCATAGTTTTTATTTTATTTAGAAACATTAAAAATAATGTTATGCATATATATTCAAATTAACTATTTTTCTTTTAATTTGTTAAATGTGCAATATTTTATGTTCTTTAAACTTCTAAGTATCACTATGCACTAATGCTCCATTGAATGACATGGGGAAAACCAGTATTTTGATGCAGAATAGCTTAAAGTATAGAAAAAGCTGGAATTAACCCTCGGAGAGAGAATTTAAATTTTGAATTTAAAATATGATTTTGTATTTACTATCATTTATGTAACTTTAATTTTACATTCATTATCTTTTTTTGCATCATTTTTTGACGAATACTTAATAAATTTTCAATTTGTGATGACTAAGTTTTAAATTATATGATATATCTGAATAGTATGAATACATTTTTAACAATGTCATGTATGGTTTTTTTTGTTTCTAACTATTAAAAAAAAGAGCAATTATTTGTATATAATTATAAATATCCTTTCATATTTCACTGCTAACTTTTACTTTTTTGTGGAAGATATTTCATTGTCGATGACCAAGTTAATGCTTCAATTTTTCCCCTTTTTTTTTTCATTAAATTGTTTAAGCTTGTAGATGTTAAGCATGAAGTTTTAAAATTTCTATTTCATTGCTATTGTAAAGAAAATGTCGGCAAAAAGTGTTAAAGTTGCAAGTGTGTTTTTTTTCTCTCAGTTTTTAATCAGTAACTTTGGCGAGCTTTCTGCTAAGCTTTTTTTTTCTCCAAGCTGTTTTTACTTTTTTGGTGTGTGTGACTTGCTTATTAGGCAGATGCATTTGCAAACAAAATGTTATGTTGTTAGTGTTATTTTATTATTGGAAAAACATATGCAATGCCAAATATGTTGAGTTAAATGCTTTCACTGAATGTCATAATGTAATACAAAGGAAAAAAGGAAACTTTATTTTAGTACTTACCCTAATCTATCATGCATAACAAAAAATTAATAATACTCTTAGCAACTTATTGATGAATACCGACTTAAATCTTTAACAAAAACTGTCAAATATATTGGGTAAAATGCTTTTGCTGAATATCCTAATGTAATATAAAAGAGAAAGAAAACTTTATTTTCGTACTTACCTTAATCTATCATGCATAACAAAAAATTAATACTTTTAGCAACTTATTGATATATATATACTTAAATCTTTAATAGTTTTAAAATAAATGTGCAAATATTTCTTTAGTAAAATGCAACTTATAAGTTTTATTTGATTAACATGGTAATGTTAAAAATTCTTCAACTTTGAATTTTAAAAGATAATTTATTTTAGAAAGACCACAAAATTTGTAGTCTGACAGGCATTTCTGAAAATTTTATTGAATGCATGAAGTGCTCAATTTGTGGAGATTAGTTACACAAATGACATACAATTAATAATATTGTTACCATCTTATTTAAAACTATTTTATATCAGTAACAAGAATTACAGTTCTTAATATGGAGTGGTAATTATAGCTATTTTACAATTCCTTAACAAAAAAATTTTTTTAATACTTTATTCTCAAAATTTTGAACAAGGTAAGATTAGAACCTGAACTTACCTTATTCAGGGGAGAGAAAAAAACAGAACAATAGTATAAAGCTCTATTTTGAACCTTTATTTTTACACTCAAAAGCAACTAAAGGGGAAAAAATCTCACATGCACAGCAACTAGCATTTTGCGATCTATCCAGTATTGTCTTATAAACGATATAAAAATCGAAATTGACTAAAAACAATTTTTTAAAATCACAAATAGTAAAAGTTCCAGTTTCCAAGCATTGGCTTCTAAATACCAAAAATTCTTTCAAAACAGAAATTTTATGTTATCCTTCCTCCTAAATATGAAATCGCTTTCTCGAACTTCGAACAACCTATTTATTGCAACAATAAGAAAATTCACAAAATTTCATATCTCAATTTCAATATTAGGATCACAATTAGGATTATTTTCACTTTACCCTTTGCTTACGACAGGTAAATTAATTGGGCCATAATGGCTTCATCACGTTAAGCGCCATAAGCAAGAGGTTAAAGAATATTGAAATGTTTTCTTTGATTTCAGTATTATCACGAAGTAATTACTCTTGTCCTTAAAAAAATAATTATTTCATGCGTGTTAATTATTAAAAAAGTATTTTTTTAAATACTTCCATTTTTTTAAAAAATTGAATCTGGAAGTGTAGGCCTTTTGAATTTTTGTTCTATTTTTTTAATGCAATTTTCAGCACATCAGTAGTACTGCAGGAGCTTACAGAAATACAAACGAATAGAGAATATGTGATTCGCCATTTATGCCCACTATCAAAATAATATTTTCACAAAAATGGACATCAAAAAATTAATAAAACCGATATTGAGGCATGTATTATGATGTAAATTAAGTGTGAATACATTTATGTTAAAGATCATACTTTAATTTTCAAAGGCTCTAGAGAATGAGTTTTTAACGTATGCTTATATTGCCTAGAATTGTACAAATGAAATACTGAAGATATAAAGAAATTTTGTCAGGTGAGTTACAACTTTTGTTTTATTTATTATTTGCTTTTTATTTTCACAAATTTCAGTTATACTTTTTTGTATCATATTTTGCTTCATGAATGTTGCTTACATTGTCTGGCATTTATTTTGGCTAATTTGTATGCGCAAAATTAAAAATAGCTTCTTTTTTTTTTCCTCTAGAGAAATAACAGCTGGCAGTTATTTTTTTAAAAGAAAATGTTAACGAAAATAATCTTACAATTGTGTCTTAATCTAATTAAATAATTCAATTTGAAACGTTTTTAAAAAATAAGTATTTTAAACTATTATTTAATGTTTTAACGTATCTTTTTTTTAAATAAAAAATCTATTGTGATGAACAATCTTTTTAATAGATAGTTATTGACATTGTGTTTAATTTTTTTTTCAAGTAAAGTTTAATTTTAGTTTGCTTTTTACTTATATTCCAGCATACTTTACTGCTAATATCTTTAAATAAATCTAC